CAAGCCCAAGCTACTCCTCCAAGTGTTCCTCTTCTTCTTCTTCTTCACAAACCACCAACAAACACTCTTTCAAGCTCAAAACTCACCAAATCACTCTAGGGATTCGATTTCAGGGTAAGGTAAGGTGGAGACTGATCAAAAATGTCAAAAAGATGTTGTAATGAGGTTTAAATAGGGCATACACCCTAAAAATCAGGGTTTGTCCTAACCTTGCATACGCCATGCATACTCCACGTACGCCCCGCGTACCTGGGTGGAATCCACGACTAATAAAAGGCTAGTACGCTAAGCGTACTAGCAAGGGACCAAATTGATAACAATTTTTCATAAAGGGCATAAAGGTGAAACTTACCGAATTCGAATGTTATAGTGTACCATAACATATACCCAACGTACGTGCAACCATCATTTCCTTCTATTAAGATCTTAATCCCTTAAGCTTTTTCGTCCAAATTCCAGAACTAGTCCTCAAATGATGTCCTTAACCATAAAGTTTCCAACTTTATGGTCTTGCATGTCCATTAAGTGCTCAATACCAAAAAACCTAACTTCTTAACTCTTTAAGACATCCTAGCTCATGCATGGAAGGAAACTAAGGTCCAAGATTATATTTTTATGGTTCCTAATAACTCCATAATGGATAAAAGTTCCAACGTTATCTATTAGAATGGTCCAACCAACCAAGATCTAGTCTTTAAGAATCAAAGGGACCAAAAGTACATCTTTTCGAACTTAATCCATTAAGTCCAAGTCTCAAGCCTTTAGATCTGAATCAATATGATGTTTAGATGGATAAAGTTTCCAACTTTATCCATAACAAGGTCATAAACTTTCAAGATCTAAACTTTTTGTTTTACAGAGACCAAAAGCTCATAACACCCAAGACTAGCTAGATCTATCAAATGCATCATCAAGATTCAAACTTTATACATCTAGAAGATAGATCAAGGTGAACAAATTCTGGATCTACAAGCTCCGATGCAAGCAACACTCCTCCAAAGAGCTCCTTCTACTCCATGATGCACCAAGAACACTCCAAATCACTCAAGCACACATTCTTTTTCTCAAAAAGCTCAAACTAGGGTTAGGATTTTCAAGGGAGGGTGTTGGAGAGGTGGAGGCTGAGAATGGAATGGATGTGGGGAGGTTAAGGAGCTTAAATAGGGCTCAAACCACAAAAATAGGGTTTAGGCATTGATCGCGTACACCCAGCATACTCCTGGTATCCCCAGCGTACTCAGGGATGCCCTAGTACGCCCATCGTACTTCTTGTACGCCCAACGTACTAGACTAAGTCCAAAAACAGTCCTAACTTCTAACGGTCATAACATCTTCGTTCAAACTCCGTTTTATACGATCTTTACATCCACAAAAAGGTATCGAGGAGCTCTACAACCCTACATAATTACTTTTCACTTAAAACACATTGAACTAAAATCCTTAACTCATAAAAGAAGTCTGAAACACCACTTTTCCCATTTTACCCATTGACTCCAAAACACAAACCGAACTATTGGACCACATAATCTACATTACCCACATCCAAATGGCTCTAAAGCTCTCTTTACCAAAGCCCGAAGTCTTATGACACTCGATCTTCGGGTCACATCCCCGAATTTATGAAACGACTCGAAACACGGTGTTACACAATTTACAAATGACTTGCACAAGGATGCATTAGTGAGCATGGAGAATGCTCACACAATGTTGCGCCCAACAATAGAACAAAACAGTTAATGAGTGATGCTCCATCATTTACGTATTTTTATCATGGAGATTGTTCTTATGTATGTCAATTTTGTAGTGCTTTGTTTTATTATTCAAAAAGATTACTATCATAACCTCGAAATCAACCACCAAAGTACAAAAAGTGTTGTAAAGTCGGTGTTGTAAGTTTACCTTACCCTTTGGAACCACCATCTTCTGTAAGACAATTATATTCCAATAATCATTTTATACATAACATAAGAGCCTACAATAATACATTCTCCATGATGTTTTCGGTGCGTAAATTAATAATGCCCTTAACTATAGACATGGTATTTACGTATTCAAAGTATCTGAGAAAATTTGCCATTGGATTGGGTCATTATGCCCTACTGAGGGGGAGAACCCACAGTTCCTAGATATGCATTTATGATACGGAAAATGAAGTTTCTAACAAAATACATTTTTTTAATCTACAGATCGGCAAAACCTTATCCCAAACATTGTTTCTACTATTGCTGCCACACTAGATTCGTGTAATAAATACATACATCTATTTAAAAATGCACCAAAGTTGTCCAACATTTCCTACCTAATTGAATACAACATTTGGCCTTTTTAGTAACGTGTCTGACAGAAGATATGAAGCACCTTACTAGGGGCCACCTATTCCAATAGTACTTAGTAGACGCGTACACGTGTATTGAACAAGACAAAGTGGATTACATACTTGCAAATCAAGATCGATTTCAAAATGTATACATAAGCGGAGTGTATGACACATTTTCTGGAGGTGACATGGAAGGGAATAATGTAAGAAGAACGTCTTTTTACCATCGTCATTCACGAGAGGCCACACCAAATAAATAAACATTACCAGGATGCTTTAGCAATATGTAGAGTTCACGGAAACCCCCAGTACTTCATTATGTTTATGTGTAACATAAAGTGGTTGGAGATAATTTTTCATCTACATAAAATTGATTCACCCCACTCCAAAGACCATCCCGACATCATTGCATGAGTATTCCACCTAGAAGTTGAAGATTTTATCAAATTTCTGAAAACTGAAAAAACATTTGGTGATATGGTTGCATGTAAGAAATATTTATTGTTCTTGGTTTATTTATTTATTTATTTTTCTTTTTTTCGTTCAGTTACACATTAGTATATTAATTATTCGTTTTTAGTGTTATAATGTAGACTTATATACCATCAAATTTTAGGAATGAAGGTTACCACACTATGTATCTTACTTTGTGTTGCACCATATTATAAAATTCATGACGTATCCGAAATCGACAGATTTATTAGTACCAAGATTCCTAATGCAATTTCATATCCTTATCTTCACAAAATAATCAGTGAAAGTAAGATACACGACCCATATGGATTGTTAAACCCTCTTTCACCTTGTATGCATGACAATAAATGTTCAAAAGGTTACCCCCAAATGTTTTAGAGATATCACATGATTTGATAAAAACAAATATGTTCATTTTCGCCCAAGTATAAATTTTCTGGCCAAGGTTTCAGGATCAAACTAGATGAAAATACACTTGTCTTGAAACACATGAACACACATATTTGTTCTGAAATCAAGTTTTGAAACACTTAAACCGAAACACTTGATCAGAAATACACGAACACACATATACACGTACTTGTTTCAAAACACATGAAAACACACACACACACATATGTTTCGAAGCACATGAACACACACACACATAGGGGCAGAGCATTATAAGAGCCAAAAGGGGTTGTACCCTCCACCCCCCTTCTCTGTTTTTTTGTCAAGAAATAAGCCATACCCTATTATTTTTATACATATTAGGCCTATAAAATGTAAAATTTAGGTTGTAACCCCCCCCCCCCCCCCCCCCCCATGCTCTCCAACTTTTATACATATTGTACTTTCGGCCCCCTAAATTAAATGCTCAAGTTTTGCTGCTCCACATATACATATACTTGTCTTGAGACACATGAACACACATACTAGTTCTGAAATCAAGTTCCAAACACATGAGCCCACACACTTGTTCTGAAACACATGAACACATACACACACTTGTTTCGAAACACATGACCACACACACACACACACTAAAGTATGTGTTCATCCCTTTCAAACGATTTCATGAACGATTGCAACGAGATTAGGTACTCAAATAACTGATTTCAGACATGCCGAAAACTTATAATTGGCAGTAGAAGATGACCAAAAAAATTCATTCTTGACTGGGAAACTCATATTTGGCTGGAAAGGACTCCGGAAACCGGCAGACCCCATATTTCTAACCATATTGGTACTTTTTAAAGAATTTCAATATATGAAACACAAAATTTAAATTTAATGATTAAATATATACAAAAATTCAAACCTATTATCTTTATAAATCATCTCAAAATTTAAACGACTTGACAATATTGTCCCAAAAGCTATTAAGACCATCCGATATGGTCCCAACGGAGGGCTTTGTGGTTTACGTGGCAACTACCACGATCTGTGAACACCACTCCGGTGGTTCGTGATCGGCCGTGGTCATGATAGATTGTGGTGTAGACGACGATCGACAACGAAGAGTGGAAAGTGTTTGGTTGTTGACTTCTCTCGCAAACTTCTTCTTCTCTCTCTCTCTCTCTCTCTCTCTCTCTCTCTCTCTCTCTCTCTCTCTCTCTCTCTCTCTCTCTCTCTCTCTCTCTCTCTCTCTCTCTCTCTCTCTCTCTCTCTCTCTCGTGGTAGTGGATAGTACTCCGACGACTTGTGGTGGTTCGTGGTGGTGGACTTGGAGGTGGAAGGAGATTTTGGTCGTGAGATCATACCGAATGGACTAAGTACAAATCTATAGAATCAATTAATTACAAATCTATATAATTAATTACATATTATTGGTTTTTCCGTAACCTATTAAGATGCCCACATAACTAAACTATATCTTCTTTTTATTGGTTTTTTTTTTCAATTTATTATAATTCTATAGGTCGGCTAATATGTCAAAGTAAATATGAACCACTTGTTTTTATCAAAAGTCAAAAATAAACAAATGAACCGTTTGTGTTTCCAATCAAAGCTTTGCTGACATTTGATGATTTGAACACTTCTGTTCGTATTATATAGTGAGAAACGAGATTTCTATCATGGTGATAGAAAATGTTAAATATAAGACTTATACCAATTAAGCAACAAGACAAAAAGTAATTAACAAATTTATCATATTATAAAAACCAATTTAGTAGATATAAAATAGGTTTTCCCCCCGAAAACAAAGCTGAGGAAACTGTAAAGAATCATGTCGTCGGAGAAAACAAAGTCCTCCAAGGTGACAGGCGCTGGCGATCTTCACGTCGTCTTCCTTCCCTTTTTCGCTTCTAGCCACACCATCCCTTTGGTCCACGTCGCCAGGCTCTTCGCCGCCCAAGGCGTTCGCTCCACCATCATCACCACCGTTCACAATGCTCTCCTATTTAAATCCTCCGTTGACCGTGATATCTCCGCTGGGTTTCCCATCGCCGTTCAGACCCTCAACTTCCCAGCATCGGAGGTCGGACTTCCCGTCGGAATAGAAAACATCAACGATGCAACCAATCTAGAAATGGCATCTGCAGTCTTCCGAGGCATGATGATGCTCCGGACATCAATGGAACAACTGATCCGCAGTCTTGCTGCAGATTGCATCTTCTCCGACATGTTCTTCCCGTGGACCGCTGGCCTCAATATCCCGAGACTGTTATTTTACCCTTCTTGTTTCCTTTACCACTCCATTTTCCATAGCTTGAAAGTTCATAAACCTCACGAGAAAGTGCAATCGGAATCGGAAAGCTTCGTGGTTCCCAATTTGCCGGATAAAATCACGATGAAGAGGTCTCAGGTCTCAGACTTTTTCAAGTTGAAGACCCCAATGGGTGAGATAATGGAAACGATCAAACAATCGGAGAAGAGAAGTTATGGATTAGTGCACAACACGTTTTACGAGATCGAACCAGATTATGCTGATCATTTTAAGAAGATTAAGGGCATGAAAATCTGGCATATTGGTCCACTGTTCCAATATTTTATTCGCAAGGACTTGAGAGGTGGTGGAACGTCGGAGAAGCACAGTAGTCTGAAATGGCTCGACAGTCAAAAACCCAAATCGGTGATATACGTTTGTTTCGGAAGTATGGTTAAATTCCCAGAAGCTCAGATCACTGAAATTGCTTTGGCACTTGAAGAATCTAAACAACCGTTTATCTGGGTGGTGAGGAAGAAGGTTGGAGATGAAGAAATCGGTGGGCTGCCGGAAGGTTTTCAGGAGAGGATTGAAAGGGAAAACAAAGGGTTGATCATGACGGAGTGGGCTCCACAAGTGGAGATTTTACAACATGCGGCGGTCGGAGGGTTCTTGAGCCACTGCGGGTGGAACTCGGTGCTTGAAGCCATCGTCTCTGGTGTGCCAATGATGACATGGCCGTTGTACGCCGAGCACTTTTACAACGAGAAGCTGGTTGAGCTTTTAGGTATTGGAGTCGGAGTGGGGGCGGATGTTTGGAACTCCGGTTCGGATATCACTAGCCCAATCATCGGGAAACGGAATATAGTAGATGCTATTGAGATATTGACAGGTGGATCCGCCATGGCTCAAAGCATCAGACGCAGCTCAAAAGAGGTAGCCATGAAAGCCAAACACGTTGTTGAAGAAGGTGGGTCTTCTCATAACGATTTAGTGGCTTTGATAGAAGAACTTAAAGCCATTAAATTGGTCCCAAAACCTTGAAGCAACTGGTGCGATTATTTTTACCCACCGTTATTAAGCGAAAATAAGTCTTTGAAACTTATATTACGGCGTGTTTTGAAAAACCGGGGTGGCTTGTTGTTGGTAACTAAAAGTTTGAAGCTTTTATTTTTATTTAAGCGTTTCAAAAAAATACTAAGAAAACTTTTAAACTGTATAAAATTATATAAAAAAATAATTGTGTAAGAAAGATAAGAAGTGTTTTCACTATAGAATTAATTTTATTTGTAAAAGTATAGAACATCATTTGATCAATTTATAATCAAAATGTAATCAAAATGTATGATGGTAAAATAATAATTTTATTTTAAAAATAAAAATAATAGTTATTAATGATCTTCAGTAAAATAATAATGAAATATCCAAGTATCAATCATAATGAAAATTCATCAACCATTGAACATGAAATCTTTTTATTATGATTAATGTTCATAGGTTAACATTGTCGATTACTATTCATACACAAACATTGGAAAATATATGAATATTCATAAATGTTCATTACTAAATATGTATGAATATTATGATTAAATATGAATAAGTTTTCATAATTGAAAATGTATGAAGATTTATAACCATCAGAATTAAATATTTATTTATAAATGAACATCTATTCATAAATGAATATTTAATCATAAACCTAGAAAAGTAATTATAGGTGAACATGTATGAAAGTTATAATCATCATAGATGAACATTTATTCAGATATAGATGTCAACATGTATTCAATAACACAGAAAAATTCTCATGTTCATAGGTGAACATTACCTATTAGTATTAATATATGTAATGCAAGAATTCCATAATTTAACTAAACCACTAATTACAATTCATGAAATATGTCTATGTTCATAGATGAACATTGTTACAAAAACCCAAAAATTAGTCATGTTCAATACAGTAACATGCAGTTTCGGGATGTTTCTTATTTCAAGTTATTAGACAGTAATTTGATCAAGTAAAGATCTCTAAACCTCAAGGGCCCTCAAGGGACCTCAAGGACCCATAAAGTTGCCAACTTTATGGAATCGTTCCATCCAAACTTCCACAACATGAAGAAAAAGGGACAAGAAGCCAAGATCTAGAAGAACATAAAGTTTGGATCTTCAACTATTAGACGACTTAACCCCGATGATTTTCTCATAATAACATCGTATTAAGAACTTCAAATACTATATCGGTTTTATCAACCTTTAACTCATCAAATCCGACACCACGACTATTAGACGACTTAACCCCAATGATTTTCTCATAATATAACACTAGTTTTTACGGGATTCCGTCCCGATATATATATATATACAAAATAAGTAAACCAAACAACTTATATTCTTACCCTCATTGCCAATATGATGAAATCGAGCCTCGTATCGAATTTCCGGCCTCCAGTAAGCTTAATCCCTTCAAACCCTCATTTATTTCTTTCATTTTTGTGCACTTTGCTTTCCCTGCCTCCCTTCTACTTCTTTTGCCCAAAATGGCGAAAATGGGCTTTAAATATGCATCTTTTTTTAAGTCAGGCGTAAGGTGTGCCACACCTTTAAATGGGCGCCTTGTGCTTTTTAGTTTTTTTGTCGAATTTTCAGAATAATAATGTACTTTTCAAACGGCCATAACTTTCTCATACGCACTCCATTTTTGACAAACTTTATATCCAAGAAATAATCTCGGAGTAAACTATAACTTTATTTAACTAATCATTCATTAAACTTTATACATTTTCTGATGTAATGCCATAAGTATATGAACATATGTATTGCATTACCAAAACATCACTGTTTCATTACTCGAGTTCACTCTTAGTCGTATCCATACCAAATACATATTGTAACATAAAGTTGGTATTTTTAGGTCGTTACATGACCCTAGTCTCCATAATGTTCCCTCTTTATTCCTTTCCAATTTTGAGCTTTTGGTGCATGGAGTGTTGCTTCAACTTAAATCCACCATTCTCTTGTGTTTCTAGACTTTGGTGAGTCATAAAGTTCATTTCTTTATGATTTTTCTCTTAGTTTTTGGTCAGTATATGTGGTTTTGATCCCTTTTATAGATGTTCATGGAGTTTGAGGAACTCCAAGACTTGGTTATGGCCTTTCTGTAACATCCCAAAAATACTGAGAGATTTTTTCATTTTTAGAGTACTAAAAAGCATCCCATAACACCATAAGTCAAGAAATCCAAAACATGAGGAAAAACTTTCAAGAAAACATCAGAGTAAACCCAAAATCATAAGGTGCGGAAAAACCATCGGTGGATACAATACAATCAATGTGGCTCCCGTCCCTTGCTACTAAAAGTACCTAAAACAATAAAACTTTAAACCGTAAACACGGAGCTTAGTGAGTTCCCAAAAATACTACATACCAATACGGGTCCTGCCCAACACACATAATAGGCCCCGCCCAATATACATAACATGCCCCTCCCAATATACATAATAGGCCCCAACCAACGTACATAATGATCACCGCCGAACATACATGCAAGAGTTAAAAAGACAACATAGCATTCTATACAGTATAATGAGACGACTCACCTTGCTAATCGGACTAGACTAACTTAATACTTACAAGGTCAGGAAGTTGGTACTACACACCACCTAATGAATCACAAAAGACCAAGCCTTAGTCAAAAAACTAAAACTAATAATTTGACTAAAGGTCAACCTGATCAAAAAGTCAATGGTCAACGGTTAAAATCAAAGGTCAGCCACCATGTCGTGGCCAACCACTAACAGCGTCATGGGAGCCACACGACAAAACAATTGTGGATGAAATCCACTACCACATTGTGGCAAGACCATTGGAACATCGTGGTCTAGCTTTATCAGGATCATGATGGGTTTGCCCACCATGTCCTAGCAAGGCCTTTGTCATGCTGTAGGGACGCTGACAGATCCATCTCTTTTCCAAGATCGTAATTCGTTAAGTCAAACATTCATACTTTCCATAAAACCTCACTTTATCCTTCAAAGGCCAGAAAAACACCAAATGAGCTCAAAGTGCTTGAAAGAAGGGTAGGGCTTGATTATTTACATTGGGAGGTGATGGAGGTTGAAGGTGGACGAAACCCTAGCCATCATATCCCTTAATTAGGGCCCAAGGCCTGAGATCTGGGGTTTTAATCCCCAACCACTACCACATCGTGGTGAAGGGAAAATTTACAAAGCCACAATATTGCAAAGTGCATAACTTGTACCTGAAAACGACGTGTTACAATTCTCCCCCACTTGAATCAGATATCGTCCTCGAAATTTGCTACCTCAAATAACTTCGGGTAATGATCCCTCGTTTCTTCCTCGAGCTCCCAAGTCCATTCAGAACCCTTACAGTTCTGCCACAACACCTTAACCAAACACACCACCTTGTTGTGTAAGTTCTCCGTCTTCCTATCGAGAATAGCGACTGATCGCTCCACATAATTGAGGTGCTCATTAATATGGATAACATCAAACGGAACCACTACGGAGTCATGAGCCAAGCACTTTCGTAGCTGCGGAACATGAAAGGTGTCGAGAATCTGACTAAGATCCACAAGCAGATCCAACTGGTAGGAAACCTTTCCCACCCCGAGCAACCACTATGAATGGACCGATATATCTGGGACCCAACCTGCCCTGATTACGAAACCGAATGACACCTTTCCAAGGTGACACCTTCAGAAGCACAAAATCCCCCAACCTGGAAGTCGAGATCGGAACTACGCTTGTTAGCATAATTCTTCTGTCTACTCGGTGTGGTTTGCAGTCTACCATACACCTACTGGATCAACTCTATAGTCTCAAATACTACCTTAGTGCTCCCCATCACCCACTGTCCAACCTCACCCCATAAAATTGGGTTACGATATTTCCCTCCATAGACCAACTCAAATGGATGCATACCAATATTGGTGTGATAGCTATTGTTGTAGGAAAACTCAACTAAAACAAGGTAGGTATCCCAACTCCCACCAAAATCCAAAACACATGCCCTAAGCATATCCTTGAGATTCTGAATGGTCCGCTCACTCTGAACATCGCTTTAGGGTGGTAAGCATTACTGAAATGAAACCGAGTACCCAACTTCTCATGGAACTTCCTCCAAAATCTGGGAGTAAAATGGGGACATGGTCTGAAACCACAAAGACTTTTAGACCATGTCGTGTGACTACCACCTTGATGTAGATCTCGGCTCACTTCTCGGTGGAAGAGAACTCATGAATCGGGATGAAGTGAGCACTCTTGGTCAATCTTTGAATCAACTCCATGTGTCATCCTCGAAAACTTTGTGATGAAATCTATAGTGTTTTGTTCCCATTTCCACATGGGAAGGTCCAACGGTTGCCTCTTTCTTTGAGGTCTCTAATGTTCGACATTGACTTTCTGAGAAGTTAAGCACATCTCCACATACCAAGCTATCTCCGTCTTCATACAAAGCCACTGGTAGCTATGTCTCAAATCCCTGTACATCTTCATAGCACCCAGATGGATCGAAAACTTAGAGTTGTGCGCTTCTTCTAACAGTGTTTGACGAACCCGACAAGAAACAGGAACCCACACCCTGCTACACTGAGTCAAAAAACCACTTCTATCGTTGACGAAAGTAGAAATCTGACCCCTGATTTTCTCTTTCTTCTGATTCTCTTCCTTTATCTCCTCAATTTGTAACTCTTTGATCAAGTCCAACGATGGTGAAGTGATGAGCATCCTCAAACATAGGTCTCTGATAGGAGCGTCAATCACCTTATGACTCAAAGCATCGGTCACCATATTCCCGGATGATACATGATATCATAGTCATAATCTTTCACCACATCAAGGCACCTGCGCTGCCTTATGTTTAGGTTAGGTTAATCCATCAAATATCTCAAACTCTTGTGGTCTGTGTAAATGATACGCCAAACCCCATAAAGTAGTGACACCAAATCTTAAGGGGAAAAACCACTGCCCTTGCTCCAGGTCATGTGTAGAATAATTCGCCTCATGAGGCTTTAATTGCCT